TAAAAGAATCTTGACTGGGGGAGATGGCTTGGCTCAGCAGTTTAAAGCACTGACTACTTTTCCAGAGGACTTGGGTTCAATTCCCAGCACCTGCATGGCAGCTAGCAATTGTCTGTAGCTCCAGTTTCAGGGGAATCTGATGCCCTCTTCTGGCCTCTCTGGCCACTGTAGACACACAGTATAGAAGACATCCATACAAAACACCTAGTCACATCAAGTAAAATAAAACAATACGTAAGCAGAGCTAATGAGATTGCTCAGTGGGTAAAAGTGCTTTCCACACAAGTATGAAGACCTAAGTTCAGGTTCACAGAACCTACATAAAACATCTGTCTCAAACAAGCTAGAAGGCTAGGGCTGACCTTGAGATTGTCTTCACACTTTCCTGTGTGCTGACTCACGTGTGTGCTTACATTCTCACACAGGAGCATGCACACATACACATAGACAAACACACATAAAAGACAAATAAAAATGGTCTTGTGGCTTTGTAATATTTCATGGATATTTATGTGTACTTTGTTCTGACAGGAATTTTAAACTTGAGTTTATAAGGTTTTTTTTTTCAGTTAGACTTAAAGTTATTGTGTATGACGTGTTCATTTAAAAAAATTTCAGTACTCAAATTCTAGCTCCTTATGTTGTAAATGAGTGATACCGTGGATTAAGTATAAAATCTGATAGTTGATGGAAGAGTTATATGGAAGATTTGGAGTAGAGACTTATAATCAAATAAGCTCCATGATCTGTTAAAATTTCCAATGTGTTATTTCTGAAAACTGATTCATGGCTAGAGATGGATCTGCTGGAAATACTCTATTACCACTGCAAACATTCTTAGCACAGTGACTATCACTTACATTTACTGGCAATAATAATAATTTCCCATGTTCCCTTTTCAAGATTATCAGTATATTCTGGCTGAAATATAGTACAGGTAAAAATAGTTTGTCTTCTTAAAACAATTTGATTTCTAATTTTAAAATAGTAAATTTTTATTTAGAGAACTTAATGTAAGGAGAGCTTAGAAAAACTCTAGGTGTAAAGGAAATTTCCATACCAGTAGCTGGATTTTGGTTGTTGGGATTTTTAAAACGGTTTTAATTTTGATGTTAAATTAACTTGACTTAAGCAAAGAATGCCGTTTTAGTGCTCCCAAACACCCAGTAGCCACATGATCACTTATGTTATGAGAGTGCAGAAACAGGTGATGTAGCCTTGACTTTTCAAGCAAGTGGTCACTTAATCTAGATTCTCTCCAAAATCACTTGGCTAGCCTGGAACTCTCTATGTACACCAGGCTGGCCTCAAACTCAGAGATCTACCCGCTTCTGCTTTTTTACCCTGAGTGCTAGGATTAAAGGCATGTGCCACCATACCTAGCCTACTTATGCTGATGTATTTTAAATGTCTGTCCCTAGGCCTCAAAACAGAGGTACTGCCTCAGAATTTCCAGGGGTTTATTTCACAATCTGAACTCTTTACACTCAACCTAACCCAAAAGGTGAACTAATAATAATCTATACTCTTTTAAAATTTCCTAATCCTTGCTTACCACTCTGGGACTCTAACGTCCAATCTAACTAAAAGGAACACTTGTTAGTGTAATTGCTTGAAGGGTGAAAACTTTATCATTGGCCAAAGGATTATTATTTAGCAAATGCTTTATTTTTGCTTTTGTAGTGTTTGGGATTGAACCCAAGGCCTTTCATAAACTAGGCAAGTACTCTCCTACAGAGCTACACCCTCAGCCCTCAATCAGATGTCTATTATGTATGTATTTTATCCAAAGCACTTTAGTATCCTCTGAGAATCTGCCCATCATGGTATAAACTTTTATTAGCAATACTCTCAGCATTCTCTGGATGGTGTGTGGAAATCTACATTGCAGTGTTTGATGATTTTCAAGAATAATGAAGTAATTCTTAATTGTAACATAATGAAACTAAAATATTCTTATTCATATGTGATTTTAGGAGCCATACTAAGTTTGAAGTTGGCTGTTTTTTTTTTTTTTTTTTTGGTTTTTTGAGACAGGGTTTCTCTGTGTAGCTTTGCGCCTTTCCTGGAGCTCACTTGGTAGCCCAGGCTGGCCTCGAACTCACAGAGATCCTCCTGGCTCTGCCTCCCGAGTGCTGGGATTAAAGGCGTGCGCCACCACCGCCCGGCGAAGTTGGCTGTTTTTATTTGGACTCCACTGTCCTCCACACATTGTATATGCCTAGCATGTTTCAGTGTACTCATAGTAATGCCAAAGCTAATGCCGTGGATAATTAGAACATTTAGTAGGTTTGGATTCTGTCACGGTTTTATAGTGAAAGGAAGTTCAATGTTAAAAAGTATTATATACCTGGAGGAGTTGAGGCATATTGACTTTGTATATAGATAGTGAAACATTGTAAATTTCAGCATTTGGGTCTTAAAAGTTCATGGTCAGCTTTTGTGCTATCGCGTCACTAGGTGGAGATGTAGCATTGTTTAGTAGACTAGCCAGAGCAAAAGAGCTGGTTCCTGATTTCTCGCTCTCTCTCTCTCCCTCCTCCTCCTCCTCCTCCTCCTCCTCCTTCTCTCTCTCTCTCTCTCTCTCTCTCTCTCTCTCTCTCTCAATATTTTATATATAATTGTTGAGGTTTGTTATATTCTAGGGAAAAATTTGCAAATTTGATGTAGTTTAAAATTCTAACTTCTTTTTTTCAGGGTGAAAATTCAACCCTACTTTAATGTCTATTTTCAAACTTCTAAGTCTTTAAAAATTATTTTCTGTTTTTACTACTAATAGCCTTTTTGTTTTCTGTTTTTATTGTATCTTGTCATGATTTGTCTGATGTCTCTGTTTTGATGCTTAATTCTGAAAGTCTAATAAGATGTGAATTTTTAATGTGGGGACAAGTTATATTAGATAATTAGAATGTACAATTCTAATTTGGTAGCAACACAAGGTACTTATAGTCTGAACATACCTTTCTTACCTTTGTATTATTTTAAGATGGTGATGTCAGATTTTAACATTGAAGTTCTCTAGAGTGTCTTTCTCTCCCTCCCTTTTCTTTCTTCCTTCTTTCACCTCTTGAATCTTAAGCAAGTATATTCTCTATGCACAGTGTTGATTGTCTCCAAGAAGTTGGTATGTTGCTGAGAACAGTGTGAGTGCACCCATCTGATTTTTGGAAATTGTAAAGGAAAAACTCAAGTCTTGTTCTGATAGTCTGGCAGTTCTCAAGTGTTTACTAGAATTACCATCTAGTTCATCACTTTCCCGTTCCTAGGGTCATGAGAAACAAAAGGCATGTTCACACAAAAGCATAGACAGGAATATTCATAGCAGTATTCATAATAACAAAAGTGTAAACAACTCAAGTGTCATGTGATAAGTGGATGAAGAAAATGTAGTATATTTGTACAATGGCTATTACTTAAAATATTTTTATACCATGAAGTTTAAATATATGGAATGGACTACTGGTTCATGTTATAACATAGATGACCATATGGAATGGTGTTATTCACGTTGGGCAGGTCTTCCAACCTCAGCTAATGTAATCAAAATAATCTCCCTAAGACATGCCTAGAGACCAGTGTCCCTCCTTGAGACTCCTTTTCCAGGTGATCCTAGATTATGTCAGGTTGACAGAAGTAACCATCACAAACGCTAGGATGAGGAAAAGAAATCAGCCACAAAAGACCACATATTACAGGATTCAGTTTATTTTCATATGTCCAGAATGGTAGATCAGACGAAGTAGAAAGGTGGTTGCCAAGGGCTGGCCAGAGAGAGACGAATGACTGCTAATAGCGCGGGACTTCTTTTACAGTGATAAAAATGTTAATTGTGATAATGGGTGCAAAACTTGGCAGATAGTACTAAACACCACTGAATCGCATGTTCGCTCTAAATGGCAAATTGTATGAGACTTAGGTGTCAGTAAAGTTTTTAAAGTGAGTTATCAAAAGGGTTATGATACCGAGCCAAGAAATAGCAATTGGTCATCTGACAGGTGCTAGCCTAAGTTCTGTGTAACATTATAAAGCAAGTGAAGACCAAATCCTCTCCTCAGATTGGTTTTTTTTTAATGGTTTACAGTTCAAGATAAGTTAATAAATATGCCATAAGGCACTTTTACTTTAATTTATTCCTTACCTTTTAAACTTTCTACAATCTGTCTTCTAGCTGTTTTTGTAATGACATTGATTTTCTTCCCTTATGTCTATTTGCCCATGTTGAAAAGCAAACTCTTGCACCTTAGACTTGATATTAGCTCCAAGCTGTTATCCTTAACCAATTTTAAGGACATTTTAAAGACAGTGGGTGGTTCTAATAATTGAAATTATATGTTTCATGAAGACCTGTGCACTCAGTAAGTTCTCATTGATGTTTCACTTGCCAGTAACTGGAAAATTATGGCTGTTGGCAGTTTTTTAAGATTTGTGTATATGAGTGTTTTGCCTCTATGAATGTATGTATGTATGTATGTATGTATAACTTAAACATGCCTGGTGCCTACAGAGGCCGTAGAAGGCATCAAATGCCCTAGAACTTGAGTCGTGGATGACTATGAGCCACCATATGGGTGCTGGGATTTGCTCCAAGAGAGCAAAAAGTGCTCTAAACTGCTGAGCCAGGTCAGCAGCTGGCCACAGATCTCTCCAGGTCTGACTGTTGTCAGTTTTTTTTAATTACAGAAAGGATTGTTTTGCCACAATTTAATCCGATTCTGTGATGTTCGGAAGTATAGTCCTAGGTTTATAAATTTTCATGAAAAATATCTTTTAGCAGTATTTAAAAGTATTGTTACTAGTCTATGATTTTGATAAGGCTGTGGTACTTAAAACTTAGGAAAGAAAAATGTTTTAGTCATAGTAATGTGTTGAAGCCAAATGGTTGCTTTAAAATATTTGATTCTTTTAAAGTCAGTTAGACAGATTGACTTTATTTCTGTATACACACCCATGTGCTTATATCTGTGTCATTAAGGCAACAATTAAATTTTTCTTTCTTGCAGATGCATATGAAACAGCCAAGCTGCTTTGTGAACAGTATTACCTGGTAGCTCCGGAGCTGGAAGTGGAAGAATTCAATGGTAAAAGACAAAGCATTTTAGATGAGATCAGACAGAGTCAGGGTGGTATGGCTAAGAAAAAATATTTTCACGTTAAGTTCATAGAAGGTGACTGAAATGCTGATTGCATCCGAGCTGTCTTTCCAAGAGCTCCTAAAATGGTGTGGCACTTCCATCTTTGTGTCCTTTCTGAATGGTTCCTGTACCGTCTGGCAACTGGGAGTATCCTTAGAAGTTACTTTGGGATAGGAATGTGCAGTCCATCCTGTGTTCAGAAGCCTTTTCCATTCACTTTGGGCCTTAATTGTGCTGCTCCCTCTTCTTTTATATTCCTTTTTTTTCTGCTTAGCCTCCAGTTCCCACTTTCCATACTTATAGGAAAGTCATCTCAAAGTCAAATTCCTTATGTCTGTATAGAGTTCTGTTGACATTTATTAAGTGCTGCTTCAACTAATGGTGTTTTGGGCAATGACTGTGCAAAACAGACTTTATTATTTCTTGAGTCTCAAGCATGAAAGTCTCAGACCACTTTTTTCACTGACTTTTAAAAATGTACTATTAGAGGGAATATTCATATTCCGTTCATCTTATTTTAGAAAGCCAACAAACCTTTATTAATCATCCACTGCAGCCACTAGGCCCAGGATAAGGGAAGAATCATGGCCAAAAACATTTTACATGGTTTTAAAAGGAAGAAAAGAAATGTCAACTGTAATATTCCCAAAGAAAAGTACACATAATTGAGCAAACCTTTAGATGACTCCTAGAGATTGTTGTTTAAACTTAAAAGAAGAAAACAAACTGTAAAATGTTTTTCATTTCCTTGAGATTTGGACTGAAAAGGTTGAATTGAATTCTGAGGCTGTTTATATAATAATGATGCAGTTTGCCACAAGATAGACGAAGCACTCAGCTTGCTTCTCAGGCCCCATTACAACCACAATCAAAGAATCCCATAAAAACAGCAAAGGAAGCCAAGGAGGCTTATAAGTGGACTAGTATATTAATCTCTTCAGGCTACTAAACAAACCCATCAGAGACTGGGTGGATTAAATAGCAGACATTTGTTCCTCATGGGTCTAGAACCTGGGAAGTACCAGATCGTGGTATGAATAGATTTGGTGTCTGGCAAGGGCCTGTTTTCTGACTTACAGATGACTTCTTGCTGTGCCTTTACTTGTAGGAAGGGGCCAAAGAGCTCTCTGGGGTCTTTTTTAGAAGAACTCTAACCCCATTCATAAGGCTCCATTCTGGCAAGTAATCAATTCCTCAAGGGCCCACCTCTAAGTACCTTCACTTTGGTAAATCAGTTTTGAGGTGTGAATTGAGAGAGACACAGACACTGAGTCCTGGAAACCCACTAGTGGCAACTCCTGGAAGAGTACAGCCGCATAGAAGTATGCTGACTGATAGGACAGGGCAGTACCAACCTAAAAGGAGCAGGCCGCTGCAGAGATGGCAGCCATTTTTTCCCGTTATCCCGGAGAGGGGCTGTGGGAGCAGAAGTGAGTGACGCAAACAACTAGAAGAAGGGAAGCCGGAGGACAGAGATCAGCTGAAAGCTGGTCTAAGAGAAGCCTGGAGAGATGACAGGGAAGAGCTTTACTCTGTCTAGGCTCTAACAGCACAGCAACAGAAATGGATGTTGTTCAAGAACAGCTTCCTGGGCTGGTTCTTGGAAGAATATTATTCCAAAGTAAAGCCTTCTTCATTTTAGCATTTGAAGGCCTCTCTGGTCATAGTCTACCTTACTAAGCTAAGGGCTTATTCTAAAGCCAGTGGAATCTTGATCAGGTTTTAAAAAGTCCAAGTCAGTCTTGTCACTGTGGGCAATCTCCAAAGGGACAGGAACACTGGCTACCTCAAGTGATGAATTCAGTTCTAAACTGAATTCCTAAGCAAAATCACAACCATAGTATGTCAAATTTTGGCAACACCCAACTGGCGTTGAATTTCTCTGCTATACTGTTACTGCCAGAATCTGCCTCTCTTTACCAGATTCTGAGGAAGAATGATTTTTAAACCCCAGATTCTTTATTTAGCTAAACCCTCAACTGAGACAGGGTTATCAGGATTGAGAGATGTGTTTCCTGTGCACACTTCAGTAAGGTAGGTTATATAACTGGCTCAATAGGCTGTATAATATAGATGTAAAAAATACACAAGACATTTTAGAACCTCAGAGATGGCCATGTAGCATGTTTAAAAAGCAGCTGAATCTGATTTGAAAATTCCTAAAGAATAGCATGGATACCATGCAAATGAAAAGGCTGTATCTTGGTAATACAGTGAGGATACCCAAGAGAAGAGTGATTGGGGACAATAGGAAAAATGGACGGCACAGAAGAGAGACATGGACTGTGTAGTGTTACTTTTATGTTATGTTGTGATCAGATACCATGACCAAAAGCAACTTAAGGACGAAAGAAAGAAAGAGTTCATTTTGGCTTATGGTTTTAGAACGATAGTGTCTTTCCTGGTGGGGAAAGCATGTCATGGAAGCAAGAGGAAGAAGCTAGCTGATCATATTTTCATTAGCACACAGGAAGGGGAGGGGAAAGGAGTGAGACGATAAAAGCAAGCAGGAATTAAAACGCTTCCTCCAGCCAAGTTTTACCTCTTAAAGGTCCCATAATCTCCCTAAATAGCATTTCCAATGGGGGTCCAAGTATCCAAATACATGAGCTTTTTGGGGACATTTCTCATTCACACTACCACAGACTGATATGATATGATGTGATATGTTCTGAAAAGGGTAATGTGATGATGAGCAATTGGAAGAATATAGACAGAATCCATTTTACTGGAAGACTGAAAGTCTTTCCTCCAAGTAACACATCAGTCATGTCACTGGACTCAAAGGGAAGGAAAGAGCACTTTTGTGGCTGTTCTGCAGTGATTGGCCTATCAGGCCTGTTGGGGCGCCACCTGCTGGGAGTCTAACTCCATCCGGTCTGATGACCTGGGTGTGAAGTCAGCACAGCAAAGAAACTGACCACCTGTTTCAAACAAGTGGCCTGGGAAAGCCTGGGCCATTTTTATTTATACAATTTCAATGGTTTGCATGAACAGTTTTACAATCAATTTTATTTAAGTTTCTAATAATGGTTACAGTAATTGCCAGTGTGTTCCTTTACCTCATTCACCTCCTGTGCCCCATTTTCCTATGGGTAACCATTACCTACTTGATTCATAGCTCTAATGTCAGGAACATAAGCAGTGTTGCAAGTGACAAAGTTTTTCTACCTAGGCACACCTACAGGTACAACAGTGTGCCCAGTTGGCAGCATTTATGGTTACAGCATCATGCAAAGTGAGAGAGAGCTTTGCCTGTAGTGGTTAATGTTTGCCTCCAGTCAAATCTAAGTTCCCACAACTAACTCATCAGCCAAGGCTGAAGCAATTCACTCTTCACTCTGTAGCACTCTGTCTGCTGTGGGGACATACCGGGTTCTCTCCTATCCTCCTGTACACTACATAACTTAAAAGCTTACTCTTAATAGTTGCCACTGCTTATCTCCTGTTCTCGTATCCCCTTCCTCTCGACTTCTTACAGTATTGGCACAGCTATTAGAAAGGAGGGCATTGTGGGATTCTGTAATTCTGCTTCATTCCCGGTTCCTAGACCGTCCCCATTAATTCTTGATATCCTATTTATTTGCATTTCTCCTATATTCTCTTTTTTCCCCGGAGCTGAGGACCGAACCCAGGGCCTTGCACTTGCTGGGCAAGCACTCTACCACTGAGCTAAATCCCCAACCCCATCTCCTATATTCTCATTTCTTGTGGTTAAAATCGTTCTCTCTAGAACAGTTATGCAGATTTGTAATGTCATGAACTACTGTGACTCTTTCAGACAAGGTGAGTTGGAAAGGCAACATCCTGTTCTTGGAGAACCCTGAATTCATGGTCACACTTGAAACATCAAGGCTTTAGGATCAGGTCGACTGTACATTTTTAACAACATCCCTCTGGCTCACCCAGAGGAGCGTCATCGGGGGAAATTTTCCTAATGTAACAGCCATTTCATCTGTAGCTCTAAAAAGTGGAACTAGAGGCAGCCAGCAATATGGTTTGTATGAGGAAAGCAAGGAGAGCGAGTAGCACATATGTTCCTGGGGTCGTGCCCAGAACTGTGCAGCGAACTATCCATCGGCCTTGCCACAAGGAGAACTTGTTCGTGCTATTCTCAAGCCTTGTCCCCTGAAGAAGTCACATGGCTCCCGGCAATTGTGTCAGAGCCCTCTTGATACATTCATCCATTTCCCTAAGGCCTGTCATCTGGCAGCTAGCCAAGCTTTTATATGGGCCTTTCAGTGAGTAGTTAAGATTCAGACCGTGGCAGTGCTGTGTAGTGTAGCTTACCACGCCTTCTTAGTTGGTTCATATTACCACAGATGACTCCTGGGATGGATGGCAGATCTGTCCTCCCGATTTGAAAAATTCCAAGAGATGTTTGTATGTTCTTGTGTGTTTCTCAGAATACCATGACACAAATGATACTATTTCAGTTTTGCTTAACAGCATTTGAAAGAGCTTAATTGATTTGCTCAAGGTCACGAAGCTACAGTGAATGAAGTGTAGTTCACTGTGTGTTTGCTTGATTCTGATGCATGTGTTTTTTGCTCAGTTATGCCATTAAATGTGGGAATCTGTATTATTAGCCTTTTTTGGAGGTTTGTTTTATATACTTGGAAAATAGAATAATACAAGCATCCTTTTTTATGTTCTCCTACTTTGGGTCCTTATTCATTGACGGTTTGTCTCTGTTTTCAGCCAAAGCACCAAACAAACCTATTCAGGTAGTTTATGTGCCGTCACATCTGTTTCACATGCTATTTGAGCTGTTCAAGGTAAGTGGGATTTTAAAGCAGAGGAAGAAGTCTTCGTTTTAAGTGGCTTTGATTCTGGGCATAATGGATTCATTAGATTAGCATAAGAAAAAGATTTTGCATAACCATTTTAAAAGTCTATTTCTGATATCCTGTGGGCTTTATAATCTGTACACTGTGAGATGAAAAATTGCTGTGTACAGTATAGTTTTATGAATATTAGTACATATTGGTTTTGAAACTTAATTGTACTTTGGTAACTTCACATCAAATCCATACTGTTTTTCTTTCAGTTAGGAGATTAGAGATGCTTTTTTAGGTTTTCAAACCTGGCGAAGGTTTTATTGGTGATTACCAGACCCAAATAAAAACATGTTTCTGTCTGTCTATGATTCTGGAGCATTAACTGTGCTAATGTATAGTCATTCCAGTCCTGAGGTATCCTACAACCGTTTTATAATTTGAATAAGTTCAGAAGACCTGATAGAGGCAAGAAAGGAAGAGCGTGGAGCCTGTGCTAAAAAGGAAAGAAAACAAAACCCTTTTAAGTTTCTCTATGGCCTAAGCTGTTGCTTTTGTTACCAAGTGTCCAGTGATATGTATGGTAGCAGTGTTATGCATACAGGGTATTTGCGCTAACATTTTAAAACGTTGAGTGTGTAAAACACTAAATTGAATTTTAATTAATTCAAGAATCAGTTGTGCTGTTTTGTTCCCAAGAGCAAGAATGCTACTGGTGGACACTAAGGTAGGCGTTCAGTTGTGAGCTTGCTCTTAGTCTGTGACCTTTCAGAACTTCTTTTTAATAGATATTTTAGCCTTTTTTCAATCCAGTGTTGATTAATTTTTGTGGGAAATGTGAACCCTTTCAGTTTTTCTGCTTTCATTAGAGGAAAGGTACTTTATAAATGCAACTAATAAATAGTATTTAAAGAGTAAAAATCAGCTTCTGTAGCCTCATTACACATGATACAAAAAATCTTTTGGGTTGAGCTGAATAATTTAAAAACCCTACAACTACCAGGTCTGGTGACACATACCTTTAATCTCATTAGTGGACAAATAAAGAGAAGTGTATCTCTATGAATTCAAGGCCAGCCTAGTCTATATAGTGAGACACTGTCTCAAACACCCCCCTCCCCCTAAAAAATCCCTGGAGCCAAAAAAAGGAAAGAAATATGTTTAACAATTAAATGCAAAATAGAACATCAGGAACATTTTCTTTGACAGAAAAAAAATCCCATAAATCTTAATAGTAGCTCCACAAAATAACTATACTTATAAGTAATCTTGTGCTTCTTTCTTTTTTGAAATTGTGGTTTTTCGTGGTTAGGGCTAGCTCAGTGGCAGAGTACATGCTTAGCATGTACATGGCTCTCGGTTCTACTCAGCACCAAAAATAATCAATACATGTAATGTAATTTAGTTGTACTTTGTGAGTCAGAAGCATGGCTTTTGCAAAGAGCTTATTGTTTTAGAACTCAATGAGAGCAACAGTTGAACTACACGAACATAGGAAGGAGGGCTACCCAGCTGTCAAGACTCTCGTTACTCTCGGCAAAGAAGACTTGTCCATTAAGGTAAGACTTTGTTTGCCTTTTTCCTTTAATCATCAGTTGATTTAATAGTGTGAGAGGGAAGGAAAGAAAATTGGCGTTTTTTGAGTGTGTTGTTTGTACGTAAAGTCGTGTAGCAGTGCTTTCTCTGCAATGATCTGAACACATAGATAGTGGCAGTCCTGTAAGTTGCTGTTGTCTAGTGACGTTGTAGTAATTCTGTATAAGCACCTTCTAAGAGAGTTGCCTGATGACATTGACTAATGGCACATTTCTCACTCTATCCCTGTCCTTTATGGAAACATGACTATATTGTGCTAGATTCTTGGCTTAAGTTACCTCCTTGAGTGTTCATGAGCAAGACTTCAATACCAAGCCTGTCAGATTTTGCTACACTACTCTGTGTCCTTTGTTTACATGACCCCAAAGGAACCATTCTTCAATGGCAGCCCAAAGCCCTTACTCGTTTTAGAGCCTTCTGTCATATGCTTGATCTAATGAACTCTCCCCACCTCCTTAAGCACACATTGACTCCCTTTTATTTTTAACATTTTGTTCACTGCAGATAAGTGACCTAGGTGGTGGAGTCCCACTTCGAAAAATAGACCGCCTTTTTAACTACATGTATTCAACTGCTCCTCGCCCCAGCCTGGAGCCTACAAGAGCAGCTCCCCTGGTAAGCATGGCAAACTGCTACAGAAGAAAAGGTCTTTGCCACAGGAATAGAGAGCTGCCCATCTCCTCAGGTGGTTGTACTAGCCTTACCTGAACGAGGATGTTTCTGGTACGGGTGGGAGCAGAGGCACCTTTTTGCCTTAGCTATTTAGTCCGTGAGTTCTTTGGACTGAGAGTGCTTTTCTAATTTGTTCAAGAAACCCTCCAGCACTCGCAAATACAGTGTGAAAAAGCTTTTCTCTGTGATAAGACTGCTGCCGGAGGGCCACTTATCATTATGCACCCCCTGGGAGAGGTGGACATTAGCCACGGGGGAGCAAAGGGACTGTAGAGTGCTTGGCTACAGCTTTGGTGCTGCACACCTTACAGGCCCAAGTCACCCAGAGCCTTTGGGGCACCACTGTCCAACTTGTTTATATAATTACAATATTTATGAATTATGAAAACATTGAAATTTTCATAATCTAAGCAGAAAACATATAGGTGGTGTATGTATTTTCAGAGGTCTCTGTGTAGCACTCTAGAAATAACCTTCAGCCTTATTCAGTCAGTGAGAAAAGCCTCTGGTTACCATGGTAGCATTTATTCCTGGTAGGGCCACACTTTCTTCCCCCGCTGAGTGTTTCTAATTGACAAACAACAATTGAACCCTTTGTCATTAAACACAGCAATGTATCTATCAGTCTGCAAAATGGCTCAGGGTATAAATTAAGTTTCATTTTAAAGTCCTACCTGACTGATAAGCACATAAGATTATATTTTATTTGTATGAATAAAATCAAACACTTTGCATTGTTATTTGAGGCAGAGTTTGTTAACTCAGCATGTGGAAAACTGAGGAAGTCATTTATACAGGATTCAAGAAAATTCATAAAAGATCAATTTGGAATAGTATTACCTTGACCAGGGTCTGGTACAAATCTTGCATCTTCACCAGTTGTTTCAAAAGAATCTGGATTATCTACTCTAGGTCTTAAAATAGCATCCTGAGGGTAGCTCTTTATGCCATGTTTGTTTTGGGAAACAGAGGACTCCAGGAGACCATTATTCACCTTCCCATTATATAGACACGGGAAAGAGGGGCAAAGGAAATTAATGGTACCTGGTGCTGGCTGCACTTGAAGAAATGCTTCCATCGACATTTCTCCCGATTAGTAAACTGTCCTCAGCTTTCAAATGGGGCCATGGCTATGTAGTACTAGAAAAGAATTTCCTTTCCAAATGGCTTATTTTACATATCTCTGCTTTCCTTCATACATTATTTTTTAATTGAACAAATTTTAAACTGTTTTATGTGTATAAGTGTTTCCCTGCATATTTGTATATATGTGTACCACGTGCATGCCTAGTACCAGAGAGATCAGAAGAGGACATGGGATCCTCTGGAAATGGAGTTACAGAAGATTGTGAGCAGCCACATGGGTGGTGGGAAGTAGCCCAGGGTCCTCTGCAAGAACAGCCAGTGCATACAACTGCTGAGCCATCTCTGTAGCCCTAAAGACAGGCGGTTACAATTGTACTTATTAGACATGCGTGTGGGAGTCAGAGGACAGTTGTATGTATGTGATGATTCCAGGGATTGAACTCGGGTTGTTAGGGTTGCGCAGCAAGTGCTTTGACCATCTTGTCAGCACAAGGTCTATCTTTTTTGTCATGGTGGTTTTGAGGCAGAGGCTGATGTCCTCCAGGTGGGCTGGGAGCTGGCTGAAGCTAAGATGACCCTGAACTCTTGATCTTCCTGCTTGGAGGACAGACTGTGCCACCTCAGTTTAGGAGGTATTGGGGAATCGAACCTAAGGCCTTTGGTGTGCTAGGCTGATACTCTACCCACTGAGCTACAGCCCCAGCACCTGAAATGATTTTAATACATCACGTATTCATATGTTCCCTATTTACTTAGATAAATTTATAGGTGGCACCTTTTTACACTAGAAATATTACCTGTCTGTGTCCTGCTGATGGTGTAGGACAGTTCGTGTCTATATGCACTGTGAGGTGTGGAGCCATCCTGTCTCTGCATGTATGCAGTGGAGCCAAATGCTGCTTTATAAAGCAGATTTGACCATGACAGGGCACAGCTGGAAAGCCACTGGTTTTTACAGTATGAAACAGGTTAGAGCATGGCACAGCATGATCTCCACATGTCCTGGTCCGTCTTTGATACTTTGGGAGGTCAGAGGACAAGTCTGTGGAGTCAGTTCACTGCTTCTATCTCAAACAGATCCTGGGTATTGAACTCAGGTCCGCAGGTTTGTCAGCAAAACTGAGCTGTCTTACTGAGTTTTAGTGTGTGATAGACTGCAGAGGCAGCATTTATTATGCTACCGTCCTTATCATCTCGGGGGGTAAGCTTTTCCTTTCATGGTGAGAAAAGTCTTAAAGTTGAACAAACTGCTTCGTCACACAGAAATGTAGATTTCAACTTCGAGTTTTCAGAGTCAGAAGCCTGTGTGGCCATAGCCCTGTCTCCTTAGTCCTTTTCCCGTCCAGATTAATCCAAAGTGTTAATTAAAGCTTACCTGAGTGCATCTCCCCACACCCGCCTGTGTGGCCATAGCCCTGTTTCCTTAGTCCTCTTCCCATCCAGATTAATCCAAAGTGTTAAAGCTTACCTGAGTGCATCTCCCCACACCCGCCGGTGGCCAGCCACAAAGTCACTTTAGTATCATTGTTCTTATTCTTGCCAATATCTGTGACCTTTAGTTTAAAAATTATATTGGCCGCAGTTTGATGACATTATAATATAGAATGATACTAAATTTTTTTTTATTTCTAAAACTACCCATTCATTGTATCAGCATACTGTAGCTTTTCTAGACCCTTAGGAAGGAACCTCTTAGGAGTTTTTTTCTGTGGGTTAGTCTCGCTATTAGTAAATTTCAACTCTTGCCAGGCAGTGGTGGTGCATGCCTTTAATCCCAGCACTCTGGGTGGCAGAGGCAGGAGGATTTCTGAGTTTGAAGCCAGCCTGGTCTACAGAGCAAGTTCCAGGACAGCCAGGGCTGTAGAGAGAGACCCTGTTTTGAAAACCCACAAAGAAGAAAGGAAAACTTCAACTCTTGTGCTATTCATTCACTTCGGGCCGCAGAGAAGTCTGATAATGCAACTTGGAAGTGAATGTGCTTTTGTGTTGTCATCCGAACAAACCCCACCTGACTGAGGAGTCACTTTTTCATCTAATGTTTTTATTCGTTGAGAATTTCAACAACATATTTTCTATTTCCATCACATTCACTCCCCACTCCTCTTCCCACGTCCACCTCCTCTTCCCTCCTCCCTCTACTTCCAACTTGTATGTTGTTTTTAAGAAGGCACTGCCTTGCAGCAGATACCCTGCTCATCTTGACAATCCTCTGCCCACCTTTCCAAGATGCCCCTGAGCCTTAAGTGTAGGAATTGTGTTACAGGTTTATTTCTCAGTCTTGGAGAGGCACCCTATGGTCAGTTGTTGTCTGCAGTTTAACCACTTGTAACTTGCCATGTTGGTGTCTGTCTCCTGCAGAAAGAAGGAGCTTCTTTGTTGAGAGACAGCTACACTAAGCTGTGGGGATAATATGGATACACTTTTGAAAAGTAACCTTGGGAGCACAGGGTTGTTCAGTTGCTGGAGTCCTTCCTTCATGCATGAAGCTCTGCGTTCTATCCCCAGCACTGTAGAAACCAGGCCTGGTGGTTCAGTGCCTGTACTCCCAGTACTTAGGAGGTGGAGTCAAGAGGATCAGGAGCTCAAGGTCAACCTCAGATATATAGTGATATAGGAAACCCTAGTTCAAAAAAGTTACCCTAATTTTATGCTCATACATAGGTAAAAATTTCCTCAAAATGGTTTTGTAAAAGGCATTAATCAAAAGTGAATTTTTTTTCTGTTACCCAAACTTGATGGGTGGTTTTTTTTTTAATAAAAATTGGGAATTTTTGGTCATAGATTATAGACACAGTGTTAGAAAGATTGGGTTACTCATTCATTTGATTTAAATTCAGATCAGGGATTTGTTTTAATTTTCTATAAGTGGTCCCCTATGAAGCATTTGCACCAGTCTTATTCTATTAATTTTCTTTTCTTCATAGGCTGGATTTGGTTATGGCTTGCCAATTTCTCGACTGTATGCCAGATATTTTCAGGGAGATCTAAAACTGTACTCCATGGAAGGAGTGGGTACTGATGCTGTCATTTATCTGAAGGTAATGTGGTTTGTTTCTGTTGGTATAAAGGCCTCTTGACTCTTAAAAGCTGGAAGTACCCATAACTAGTCGAGAAGAACACTGTATCATCTCTTACCTTGAGATCAGATTTATGAAACCATGCTATGCCTCATGCTTGATTTTTATGCCAAAACACAACAAAGAAGAAGCATAGATATGAAACTTAAATTTTTTATTTTATAACCATAGATCTAAATTGGAGTTTTTCAAAATTATATGTTCATTGAAAAACCTAGTTTAAAATGAGACCGATTAACAGTAATCTGAAGTCTTCTAGTCTTTCGCTTATTTCTCAAGTTGTAAGAATTCAGTAATGAAGCCAGGCGGTAGTGGTGCACACTTTTAATCCTAGCACTTAGGAGGCAGAGGCAAATGCAAACGAATTTGTGAGTTCAAGGCCAGCCTGGTCTGCAGAACAATTTCCAAGATGGCCCAGGCTACTCAGTGGAGCCCTGCCTCAAAAAAAAAAAAAAAA